ATATATATATATATATATATATATATATATATATATATATATTTCAATATCGCTTCAAATAAACAATTATCATTTAGAAAATAAATTTATAGAAAAGCAATTTTATTTGATAAATAGTATATTTTTCAAGAATTTCTTTAAAGTGGCCGTCATTAAAAATCCGCTACCGAATAAATTACTTCACTTAACATATTACGGATCATGTGCACAAATTTGTGCGTTTTAGGCAACTTGAGACAAAGCTCATTTAACATTTTCTTTCTATTTTCAAATCCGGATTTCCAGAGGAAATCTTTAAAAAAAAATATATGGTAGTCCGTAATATATATGAAATCATCATGCGAAATTTCCACGGCGCAACGCTGAAAAGGCGAAACATCGTGTCTATCATTTGAAAGCGACAATATTATAGCGTAGAAAAGACCGGATCTAGTTGGTTTAAGTAGTATATCGGCTATGTACTTTGTTTATGTATTTATTACGAGAGAAACAGTGGAAACGAAAATGTTTCCCTTAGAGAATATAAGTTTAATTAAAATCAGAATAATATCACAGTTATAGAAAAAACTGATTTAGAAATAGCACCAAATATATTTTTTGCATATATTTTTAAGCATCTCAAAATTGGGTTTTAAGTTTTTTATCTTTACAGTTCGAATGATTTTTCGAGTGACTTTTATAAGTTTTGAACTATAATTTTTTCATATACATCAAAGGATAAGCTTATAAAAAACATGATATTCCCGCCGCGTCAATATAATGTTTTTCCGAATCATAAGGTAACTACTTTCTCAAATTGACTTTTTTTCTTATTTAATCGTACAGAAATTTTCTTTTTTATTAAGAGTCATGAAAGAGAACACAAATTTAATTATTTTTGGTAAAATTATGCAAAAATATATAATGTGTTTAACGATAAAAGAAAAAAAACTTTTGTATGCATGTAGATTGCATCATCAAATCCTCAGACTTTTATGATAATAAGAAATATGTCAAAATATAAAATGCATTGTCGACTATTATTTGTACAAATTCCAAAAAGTATGTTATTAATATATATATTAATATGTAATAAATATACTTATTTATTTATTTTTATTTAGTTATTTACTTTTTTACTTATTCAATAATATAGAAATCTATTTTAATCTTTATTAGAAGCATGAAAATTCATTTATTTTTGGCAAAAAATTATGTAAAGATATGTAATACGATAAAAACAATCACATATAAAACAAAACTATCTACAGTCTATTATTATTTGTATAAGTTTTTAAGTCTTTATACTTTTTTAGTTTTTATTACTATTTTATATGGAAAAATAGGTAATAATAATGATAACTACAATAAAAATTATAGTTATTTACAAAATTAAGTAATAATTATAATATTTTACAAAATTGCTGCCGCGCCATAGAGTAAGACTTCCCGAATTGTAAAAGTTGTAAGAGAATATTCTCTATCGTGAGTGAAGAAACTTTAAATGACGTGTTATTAGTTAGAATGAAGTTTCTTACAAGTATATGATACACTATTTCGGGTAATGAAAGCAATTTTCACTCATAAAATGATTGAAATCATATGGACGGAAGAAATAAAGTTGGTCGCTTTAGGAACTAATCAGGATACATATTTGATAACCTTCTTATTCTCAGTTGTTAGCCATCTTAATTCGGTACCAGAACAAAATGGTCACGCTGCAGCATATTCGTATTTCAGTTATGGAAGAAAACGTACGGTTTACATGCTCGTTACAGAGATAAACAGATAGAGAAAAATTGTCTCTATCATAAGAAATTGTAACTTTGAAACTCTAAAATGTATAGTATCTGACCTCAGATTTCTCCATCTGTACCAACCAGACGAACGAAAGTGATTATCTTCTGGAGTGAATCGATTACGTTATTGCGGCGTTATTTCTCAACAAATTGCAACAGATAATTTGCTCGCGACAAGCCGCGCAGCGAGTTCTCTTGTCAAGAGTTTTCGAGAGGAAGGTCCAGACTCGAGCGTGTCAACTCGATGTCGAGTTATCGTCTAAAGTTTGCCAGCGGCATCGTAAGCACAGAATATAAAATTGGACAACGTGCAACGTGTTGCGGTACACACCACGGTGCGCCGGGACAAATACATCTTGATTCCTGTGTTCTAACGGGACGTGAAATCAGAAGCGAATGGAAATACGGGTCCCACTGGTGGCGCATCTTTTGTCGAGGAAATGAAAAGTTTTTCCTATTGAATATCTTTTGTAACGCGTCGACGATGATGCACATAGCGGCACGCAAACCGGCCGAACTGGGTCAAACGCCCGAGAAGCGACAGTTAACGCCTAATAATTTTTGCAAATAATTAACTCCGCGCTCGCTGAAACGATTGTCCCGCGTAAATTCTATAGTTTAGCGAGAGAGCGTCCGACCGTAAAGCTCGGCATACATACATATGTACATTGTATTTTTCCTGTTAAACAATATTTCCATGTGACACGCGTTTTCCTATGCTATTACATAATATTATGATAAAATAATCGCATACCCGCGCGCGCGCGCGCGAAAGAGAGAGATACTTTATCTCCAATTATTGTAATTATCGAAATTATGGACATTGTGTTGGCTTTCCACAATAATTATTGCGCTCGAAAGTATCAGATTTCGGTCGTTAAACGCAATTGTATATACGTGTTAATTAAATAATTCGTTCCGCAATACGACAAGCGAAGTACTGCAAATATCCGCTCTTTTTCTCTTCTGTTGTAGCTGCGAAGGGGTCGACTCGTTAGTGGCATACGTGCACATAGATGGCAAGAAGGACAAGATAGACTCGTTCTGCGGGGATACACCCCCGCGGCCTATCATGAGCAACGGTCCATGGCTTTCTCTGGAGTTTCAGGGGTTAACATCATCCCGCCATTCGAGAGGCTTTAAAGTGACATATTCTTTCATGGAAAGTAAGTGAACGAATACATCGCCTTTAAGGCAGTTGGTTTGTGATAATATTATTAAAAACGTAATGGTTAATGCAACATGAAAATGTTCAACAAATCTGTGCTAAATGTCTATAAGTATGATTATAATTTTTTCTGTCGCAAAAGAATATCGATCAAATTTACATAATATTAAAAAATCTATTAAGAAATAATCATCTCTCTCTCGCGGCTGTAATGTATAATACTAGCTAGGATTGACTCTGTTCGACATATGTTAATAAATATTGGGAAATTCGGGGTATAATAAGGACTGTAAGGCTTAAATAATAATAAACTATATTATTATTTATTAATTAATTGTGTTAATTAATAATTTTAAACTAAACATTAAAAATAATATTAATAATAAATAATATTAAATAATTAAAAATATTAAGAAATAAATAAATCAACTTTATATTGCATTAAAGATTCCTTGATATTTCTATTATAAGAAAAACATAAGTTTCAAGCTATGAAAGAATAGTTGAAAAGGACGAAATTATTGTTTTCTTGAAAATTAAATTCATTATGTTCTACGCCTAAATAAATGGGGTAAATATTAATATTAGTAGCGATTTTATTAATTTCAGTAATCTTGACATGTATAATCAAGAACATAATTCTAACTAACTAAAAGTTTTAGCCGTCGCTCGTTGTTTATTACAAAGTTATGAACAGCTAAAGATATTGATTGACCGATACTTGGAACATGACACGATAAATGTACGTAAATATAATTCTTGAATAAATTTCCTAATTTTTCTGAATCATAAGAAAATCTGTTACCTTTGTGTATACGAATGAGTCTATTATATAATAAAAAAAATGTAAAAATTAACAAAGAACCCTATGCAAAGTTTGTTTAAGATAGTTAAACAATTCTTTCCAGAAAGATCTTTCACCTTTCTGAATGAATGAATTTGCTATATATTATGGATACAGAAAATGCACAAAATAATATCTAGTATCTTTCAACTGAAAATATTATGAACACTGATAAAAGCACACAGTAACCAATAAATGCTTACTGTGAAACGTTTTAAACATTTTATTGCACCTTTTAAGGAGTTACAGAACTTTTGCGCACGGGAAAACGGGTCTTCGCTAAAACGCTTCAATTCACTATTCAGTAGTAAAGACTAAAGATGTACAGGATGTCCAGTAACTTGCGGCGCAGCCGCGGTATGTAGGTAGAGCAAATCAATTTAAGCAAAAAGTACTCCACTATTTTTCAAATAACCACTTAAAATTTCAAGATATTAATAGAAGAATATTGACAAACAAGAGCGCGATGTTATCCCTCTTTTCTAAATATCTTTTTCTAGTAAATCTTCTTTCTTGATAGATGGGTTTAATCTCCCTATACAACATTATGACGTCTTAGAGACGTCTAAAAGACGTCTTAAAAAATTATTGGAAAGATGTCTTATAGCTTAAACATATTTTTTACTTTAATAAGCAAAACTATTTATTATCAGGAACTCTAGAACTATTAGAAAGGAAGCCAGAACTCTTAATAGATTTTGAGTTTCCACTAAGTGAGACACTTGCTTCACACACACGTATAACTTAAGACGTCTTCAAGACATTATTTAAAATATGAGACGTCTTTCTTAAGATATATGTATATATATATATATATATATATATATATATATATATGTATATATATATATATATATATATATATGCGTATGTGTGTTATCATAAATTTTTTTATAATTACAATATATATATTTATATATATTTATATATCATATATTTTTTTTAATACGCATTAAAAAGAAAAAAATGTTTTATTTATTATCGTTTATTTGCTGCAGATGGTTGATAATTATGATTAAACTGTGGATTTGCTCATTCATTCTGTTCATGGTTAGGATCAGATGACAGCGAGCGGATAATGATATTCAGCACATCCTACATTTCAAATATTAAAATATATATTGCCGAATATAATACTGAATAGCGGTATTTGGTATATGATTTAAAGCATATGATGTCGGATACCATCACTAGTCACTAGTACCTGATCATCGGTATTTGATCTTGTGAGCAGGATAGATGAGCAAAACTAGAGTCTAACTATAATTTTGAAGAACCAACTTGAGAGAGAGAGAGAGACAATTTAAAACAGCAACAACTAACTGACTAAATTATAAAAATGCATAGTATGTGTATAAATTCATAGTGTGTGTATAAAAATTCACAATACTTCTTTAAGATTTTGATATGTTTTCCGTCCATGATGCTCGTAAAGGTTAAAAAGTTATGATATTTGCTATAGTAATAACATCTAATGCATCTAATAGTGCATGTAATAGTCGGTATTGTAGACAGTTATATATAGTTTTAAAAATGTCACTCAATAAACATTATAAAGACGTCTGAAATAAGATGTCTGAAATAATACGTTTATAAGACGTCTTTAGATAACATTTTAAAGATGTCTTATCTATGACATCTTTAAGACGTCTTTTAGACATGCATCTTGTCTAAACCTCATGTCTGGGTCTTCTTGGACTATAAAAAGGCTTAGCTTTTTATTTAAAGGCTTGGCTGTATTCATCAAAAGCATCAGTAAACTTAGCCTTTTGCCATATTCTAACTATTCGGGCTCGAAGGATAATGTTAATGGGATTTTCATCAGTCAAGCTTTTGTGAAAAAACCGAAAATCGTCCAAATTGCCGGTTTCATTTCTTGAACGGTTTTGCTTCTTATGATAGCTTATTCATAATAATACGATAATTCCTTGGTAAGAAATTATCTAAAAGTTTTCTTTTCCCTCCGAGATGTTTTATCTTTTCCAGATTACAAAGCGCCGAGCATATTTGTTTCTTCATGTACGCAATGCAGTCTTTTTTAAAAATGGAGTACTCCGGATCATATGAATCAGAATGTAAAAGCATATGGAAAGATTTACTATCACCATCACGAATATAATACCGATATATAATATCATACTTTTCATATGAGCATTCAAATATCTCTACAATATTCCATTTGATTCCATTTTTCCTGCGTAACCTGGTGATTTATTTGGCATTTATCTTCATGATTTTCATACCACTCTTTATACTCGTATATTTTATTGCGATTTTCAAGATTTACATTCTTTACAATATAAACATTTTATGACAACTTCCCCAGTTGGATAACCGATAAAATTTCTTGTAGAGATTTGAAGCTAACTTCCATCGCTAGAAATAATTATATTATTTTCATCTACACTCCTTTTTCAACTTTTACAGCAACTGCATTCTATTCATAGATATATTACAAATGGCTTCTGCAGCATTTCAGGTTGAAATAACAATGCAAACGTATGTTTTTGTGAAAAGAAATGATAAAAATCTATTAGTCCCGAGAATATTGATACTCGCGAGTCCTATTCCCAACACTCTTATGATAAATATAAAAAAAAATCTGACGTTAATGTTAAATGAATGCACAACTGTTCGAAGACACAAATCTATTTATATAATTAATGCCATACTATTTACAAGTAACTTTAATTTTATATACTATTATATATATAATATTATACATAAGATGTATTTTTGATGAGTAATTGTAGAGGAATCGACATCGTTATCACATGTTTTATATCGCACAATTTGTTAATACAGTAAAAACTGATAAAAAGTTTATTGTTTTATATGCAATTATATTATTTTTATAAATTTTGTAGTCACTAGCTATCTGAAGTTTTCTGCAGACAGTCCGGAAATACTAAGCGTCGAGTTATCATTTTTCCTTTCTCTTGCTTCGCCGACGAAGGCGTTTCCATGAAATTTATTTTTCTTTGATTTTCCTGAATGTTATCTATGCAGTCCACTTAGTGTTTGAAGTCATAGTTTAATTGTATGCTGGTGTAAAGAAACACAGTATTTCAAAGCAAGAAGCGTTTAAAAAGGAATCGCATATGCGATTGTCCTTCCTTTGCTCTTTGTAGGTAGTGTCCGTCTTTGTGTTTTACCGACTGGCTACCGAGCTGGTTCCGATTGGCTACTCTTGGCTTGAAAAATGTGAAAAAGCTCTTCTTTCTATGAAAAAAGGACTGTAGTCAACATAGAACCTAGGAAAACGATTGCAGATTATTTCAATAACGTTAGAGGAAGACAGAGAAAAGTCGCAAAATTCGTCTCTCTGTTTCTACTTCCATTTTTTTATGTTCCTCACGTTAAAAATAACATTTTAAACTCCTACTTTTTGCTCCTTTCTTGCAGAAAGTTTCTAAAGAATTATTTTATTAAAAAATGTAAAAAATCGATTGTTTCGACCCAAGGTGCTATAATCACTTAAACAAGTTATTGGCGATACACCTTTATATCCTGCGACTTTGTTATAGCCTGTTCTCTAGATCCCCCTATTGTACATACGAGAAAATGCATACTAATACGCACTATTGAGAAAAAGTTACGACATCGGATTTTTTTCGGATTTTTTATATTGGTTATAGATCCTTAAGAGACTCGTATTAATAATTGTTGTCTAAAACTTATCTTATATAAGATATCTTAGATTTTTATTCACAGTCAGGTCCAAGTATCAATTGAATTATGAAATATGTGACATTTAAATCTGTAATCACACGATTCAATTGAAAGAAAAATTTATTTAATTTTGAATGCAAATCTGAGCATCTCATTTGAAATAAGATTTAAGTAATAACTACTAATACGGGCTTAAAATTCTTTAGCTATTTTATTTTTAGAAAGATGACTAACCAAGAAACACAAAGAAAAATATAGGACATGTAAAATTGCCAAATCTTCACAGGTTAATAATTATTTATTTACTTTAATTGTTATCAAAAAATTGTGCATTTTTACATAGCAATTTCTCGAAAATCAAATAGCTAATGATCTTGTAAAGTTTTTATAATATTTCTAGTCTTTTAATGTCGTTTTCATTAAAAGCAAGAAGACGTAACAGCATTTGGTTCGCTGGAGTTAAAAACGTAATATCAACAGCA